GAGGGTAAAATCAAATGACCGATCTCCCGTATTGCAAACGCGAATCAATGTTCACATTGGCCAAATAGTAATTAGCCCAGCTGTGAACTACGAATACACCTCTTTAATCGATGAATTGAAATCACCCCCCCCCCTCCCCTCCTCCCCAACCAAGTCCTGACTTTATCGTCAAATTCAGCCATCTCCTTAAATTAACACTGTTCACTTAACAGTCAAAGGTGATTTTCGGGGAACTTGAAAGGGGGAGGGGAAGGGGAAGGGGGAGAAAAGGCAGGAGCGGATGAAAACAACTTTAATTAAACCTCAAGTAAGCAAATGCTTTGGTTTTTCATTCAACTAGGACGCATTGAGGGAAGAAGACAAGCCTAACCGAAGGCTTTGAAAAGGAAGGAAATCTGTTGGATAAATAAGCGTAGGTGAACGAACTGTACTTATGGATCACCAATTAGGTGCAGCATTCGATTGTAACTTGCCCAAATTCTATTTGATAAATGACGAGGGGAGGCCAGTATACTTACAGAAGTGGCTATCCCAACGTACTACAATTGCGCACAATTTCGCCGACTACTTCACGACATGGGTGGATGATAAGTTGCAAGGAGTTCGGGTAATGGAAGTTAGACGAACACACTTGAGCATAGAAATTGTTTACCATATCTTCAAAGGTGAGCCAATAAAGCGCGAAGATGGTTTTTTGCGATCGGTCTAATTTGTGGCACCTTACGTTGAGAATGTGTATTTAAAAATGTAACGCTTTTTTCAGCCGCCAGATAGAAATGTAAAGGAATAAGAGTTAATTCTGATAATATGATAATCACTGGAAAGAGTTATATCAAAAATGTTTCCATATGAGGATCGCTTCTTGCCAATTAAACAAGGGTTGTATCGCTAAGTCCACGTTTTATTCGCATTTATAAAATGCTGTTGCAGAGTGCTTAATTAACTTCTCTTTGGCAATCTGTAAGTATTACAACTGTACTTTTATATCGCGGTGTGCTCTCTCTGAAAATCTGCATGACATAAATCATGCGAAATAATAGCTTTCAAAATCCAGAGGGAGTAAAAAAAGGACAATTTGGAGTCCAATACACTGGGTTGATCGCTACAATTTATGCTGATGGGTGCCTGACTTCTATAGCCGGCTGTCTGGAAGAAAAAATGAGTGAACCAGATCGAGTTTTTTAGAGTGCCGTATGGGTGCGTAATGCAAATCAAAGCTGATATCTACTTAAATATAACTCTAACCCTTAAGGTTATTTATTTATTTATATCAAATGGCGGGCGTTTTGATAGGTATCATTAGCCCTTTAGTTGACTACGGGCTTCATAGAGGGGAGGAGGAACATCAAAGTGACAAAATGTCGATAGGGAGGAACGGAAGAGTGGTTTAAAGATGTAAAAGAGACAGACACAAAAGCAGAGAAAAAGGTGAAATGAGTACTGTGAAAGTGGTCGAAAATGACACGGTGGGGTCATGGTAGTTTGAAGTGAGAAGTCAACTGCCGTTTAATAGACTTTTTTTGCCGTATGAGTATACGTTGGAAAGAGTGCACCACGTGGAGGTAAGTCTATCGCACACCCCCTAACCCTTAAGATCAAGGAAGAATTTTCGAACCCCGAATCCTGAGGAAAAGGCACGATATTTAGGAGGGTGATAGAATGATCGCGTGAATTTTCACCTTTTTAATTACATTCGGTAACTCTGCGCAACGCGTGTGGAGATCACATGAAATTCTTCTATTCTTCTCTGTCCCATAAACAGACAAACGTTCCCATCGTAATAGTGAATCGATGACCACCCACATTCTCTAACGATTCAGCTTCGCCTTTCCATACACAAAATGGGAGTTAGCAGGAATGCTGGCTACTTCCTCTGTCCATGGCCTAATTTTAGCCAGTTTACATGAAATTTACTTAACGCATCAATAGGGAGAGGCCTGTGCAGTTTCTGTTCTTTAGTTTAGCAAGTTGCTTTGCAAGCATATTTTGGTGGAAGTTAGGGGGATTCCCACCTTGCATTCTAATTTTGGCCGGCATCTTCAATGCAATTTTGCGAATCCTGTGTAACGGCGAACCAGACGTCAATCAGCGGTCTTGGACCTTGAAGTACACAGTACTCATCAGTTTGTAATAGTCTTGATTGAGTGGAAATAAATATATCATTTTAGAGTGAATAAATGGAGTAGGAGTAGGGGTGTAGAATATCGAAATAAAACCTGCAGATTTGGAAGATGGAATGCTCGCAGCGTAGAAGTGCCAAGGTAGGATAGGTAATAACTCGTGTAAATTTCAAAACCTCCTCAATGCTTTATTATTCCCCAGAAAGGAAGTCGAAAAATGTCCTACGCCATAACAAATAAATGTTAAATACGAGTCTGCCAATAAAGAATCGCTTAATTCCCAACCACTAAGGCAGGTAGAAATGCCTATCTACTTGTAGTAGGTCCAAGGAATAGACAATAAAGAAATGAATGATAAAATGCGAAAGCCATACGTACAAGGACAAGACAAGCAGAAAGGAATGCCTAAATAACAACAGTTTCTTTTCCAGTTAAGTTAATAGGAAAATAGCAACAAGCGATTCATCTATGAAAGCGAAAATCTAACTGACGAGGGGAAGAAAGCCTTTGGGAGGTAGATGAACAATAGAAAGGTTAGAGCTTAAGCATAAAGCCAGCTAAATTAGTATCCTTGCGTTTGACATGACCATATAAAGTTCCCAGTAGTTTTCTTCTTTTCAATGCCCAAAAAGGCGTCGGGCTAATTTCCCAACATCCAAGTGAAAGTGGTAAAGCAGGAAATTCGAGCAATAAACAAAATCATGAAAAAAGTTAATGAAGCGAAAACCAGTATGAATGACGTAGATACAGAAAAAATATCTTTCTTATTGCCTTTAAAATGTCTTATCAATTAAATCTGGCCATTTTTACACAAATTCTTGTTGTTATAACGAAAACTCATTACACATAAACCCCAACAAAGTGGCTCATCAAGTCATAGAAACAAAGTGAGAGTTAATCATTATTTCCAATAATAAAAGATAGGAAGCACAAAATATTAATCCCATTAAGGAACTTTTTTTTAAATTTTAATATTCATATTTACATTTTCATATTGATGGTAATTCGATTGGATAAATTTTAGATGAAGAGAAAACGGTTCACAATTACGGAAATTTATCACAAGCAGGAGACAAGAGCTCAGACAAAACAATTACATCATAGTGTTTAAAAATTTTGACACTGAACACAAAGATTCGGGTCGTTGTGTAAAATGACATATCGAAAGCAATTATGATAGCTTGATTGGCGGCCAAAATAAAATAAGTCAATTGAAACCAGTTTATTCAGTGACATTTTTCGTTAGCAGCTTCATTTAAATTCACACTATCGCATAGGAATTCTGAAAATATTGACTGCATCAAGGACACAGCTGATACAATTGAGACATGGTAAGAAGTGGAGATTTTCCATTGTGCACCAGCTTATTGCTCTGAAAAATCTCCCTTCATTTTTTTTCAAGTGATTCAGGTGTGACGATTTCCAGACTGTCATAGTCGATAAAATTTAGTGTCAAAAATGATGAGAAAGTGAACTATTTCTAGGGCAAACAGTCAGATCTGTGCCTTTTACTTTCACTTTCCTGCTTTAATACTAAATTTTGATTTTCATTAACTATTCTGTCTATTATTTGGAACTGACCCAAAAATGTTGATTAGTATTTCACTAATGCTTGCATCAGGGATCTATTTCACGTTAACAACATTCGAATGAAATTTTTGAAATGGCTGCTTCTTTCCGATGAATACGCGCTGTTAAAAATGGATATTTTCTAAATATGGGAAGATTTTACAAGTGAATAAAACCTAATACAATAAATAATTGCAGCCGAATAGGAAAGGTAGTCAGAGGATGCAGACAGATGTGGTGCATCAAAGTCCTGATTACTCATCCTGGTCACATGATGGGCTAGAGCAGTGACAGAGTCTGCCTCGGCTGTGCTGCGTCGAAAAGGATTACTTCCACTTGACAGGAAACCGAACGCCGTCAATAGACACAAGTATTGAGTGGAATGAAAATATTTTGGAATGCCAGACAATTCTGATAAAATATATGTACAGATATAAAAAGCACATATTGTGTAGAGGTTTCTAGCATCAAGGATCTTTAGTAATTGTGCAATATTTTGCTAGATTTTTAATAGTTTTAATCGAATCTATTTCATCAATTGAATCATAAGAATTGAGACAATTAAATATGAACCCTATTTCAATAGAACGGAAGAGAGGGAGGAAAAACCAAATGGAAATTTAATGGAGAATTTCTTTCGTGTTCTTCGAATCCTTCTCTCTCAAATTACTTTATTCCTTCCATTGGACACACACACACACAAAAGTGAGTGAATGATCAGTTATCAGTGCTAAATATTTGTTTGAATATAAAGCAAAAATTCCGATTTCTTCCTATTCTAGTCAACGCACAGTTATTCAAAACATCACCTTTTTAGATCACTGCAACGATAGAAGGATTTTTTGAAATATTCGACGATAATAGTGTGGACAAAGGCTAAAGTAAAATTATTTTATTTTATTTTAGTAAGGAAATCATCATCGCAAAAAACGCACCATCAAAAAGGGTTTTAATGAAACGATGTTTGTTTACAAATCACACTACTTAGCAAATAAAGGGTTTTATAACCCCATTGTTTCAGTCTTAGCAAAAATTTGGGTGGATTTTTCCCCAATGAATGTGAACTTAACTTCGTGAACTGTTTACTTCGCATGACGACGCAAAAAGTGTACGAATCGAAAACACAGAAGGCCAAAAGTCACAGAAATTGGAATATTTATTTAAACGAAGATAAATTAATTGCTTGTTTCACAATCCATTCAAAAGTCTGTAAGAATTCTCTTAAACAAGCATTTGGGATACAAAAATAACTTTGTTTGCATCATGCAAATGGAAATCAACCATCGTATTTAAAGTTTAGACTTAAACAACCTAAACTCTAAGCATCTTTCTCAAGTGAAGAGGGTCTTTAGGATAAAGAAATACCATCTCAGCTTGAACACCAAAAATCCTTTCAAAGCATAGTCCTCGAATCTCCTCTTCCCCTAGCTAATGTAAAAAACAATGTGCCATGAAGGGCAGTTATACATAGTTGTGCAAATAAGTCATGTGCAACATTGCAGAAAATTCGGGGAGATAACAACTTTTCAGGAGAAAATTAGATGACAGGGGAAACATATGCTGCAAATTGAGTATAATACTAGTAAATAAAATGTGTACTTTAACTTACTCGATGGTAAATGAGAATAAAGAGAGTTTGAGCAATGAAGAAGCTGATTTCGAAGACAGTTTTGAAGACTTCTGGCCAATGCATGGATTTCTGTTCCTGCATCTCGTGTAACCGGATAGAACTCTGGCCTATACTCATTGCTGCAAACACTAAACGAAAAATAGACAATATAAGAAATATATTCCGCTTAAAAAAAGCATTGATTTAGTTATAACTACTGCCATTTAACACTATAGCAGTGGCCCTCACTTTGAGAACCCACATATATATATATATATATATATATATATATATATATATAT